GGGCACACGGTGGACGGGAGATGGAAGCACCCCACAAGGACAGAGTGTCCAGGGGGCAGATCAGCAGCTGGGTCCTCATGCCTTGTTGGGATTTCCTGTGACATCACAGTCCACTCGAAGCCCCTGGCTCACACCCTCCTCCTTCACGACAGACTTGCTCCTCTCCTGGCTTCAGAAAAGGTGTGTGGAGCTCTGAGCACAGAGTGGACTAGCCCACCCCTCTGAAGGTCTGAGGGTCAGCTGCGGCCTGTCACTGCTCCTGCCCTCCCCGACTCTGAGTGCCTTACTTCCTGACACCCAAGGTCTCCTGATCCAAGTCATGGTAGTTTCCGTTGCTTCCTATGCATCTGGAAGTTGGACAGTGAATAAGGAGACAGAAGAGCGATGCCTTTGAGTTGCGATGTTGGCAGAGAGTGGAATATCCCGTGGACTGTGAAACTGTCCTGTCTGTCCTGGAGGAAGTGTCATCCAGGTTCTTTATAAAGAAGGATGTGAAGCTTCATCCCACACGCTTAGGGCATGTTGCCAGGAGGCGCCAACCCTTGGAAAAGGACAACATGCTGGGAAATGAAGTGGTGACAGAGGAAAAGAAGATCTTCAAGGAAATAAAGTGACCAGCCGCAGTGACAATGGCCTTGGGCGTGGTGGGACGGGAGGACGGCGCTGGACGGGAAAGGTGCAGATCTGTTGTTCATAAGGTCGCTGTGAGTGGTAGTCAGCTCTATAGTACTCCTCAAAAATCGACTTACCTACAAAAGTGAATAAACTAGTACAAGAAAAGAAAAATCAACTTACTCCTGCATCTTGGGCCTGGGGCTCGGTCTCTGGATTTCCTACCCCTCACATCTCTGCCCCTGGCAGGTCCAGCTCACCCTCAGTCACCCCAGAATCCCTCAGAAAAGGGTGATCCCTGGACCCACTCTGCCCCCACTGACCACCTTGACCAGTGGTCTCCTGAGAAACAGCGCTCTGTTGTCCAGTGTCAGGGGCCACACAGCACTCCCCTGATGACCTGACATGGGCAGGGCAGGGCTGTGTGGGAATGGATGAGGAGAAGCACCATGTGGTCTCGGGTACGGGGGTGTAGAGATCTGAGTGCTCTGGGGTCCGGGACACCCAAGAGGAAACAAGTGCATGTCCCTGAAGGGTCACTGGTCCCAAGGTTCCACACCCAGCGCGGCATCCAGGTACTCAACATCCGCATCACTAGTGAGCTGCCGAGGCAACTCTGGGCCCTGCTGACCTTCCATCAGGATCCCTCAAATCTTCTCGGGAGGACCCTGTCCACACAACACACTGCACCACCAGGGCCCAGTGGTGTGCAGCTCTGGGTGATTCTCTGTCCTGGGGTGAGGTGTCTGCTGTAGTGTGGGATGGTCATCAGCTTCCCTGGCCCCCACTCAGCCCCTAACATTCACATGTGAAATAAAACACTCACCATGTGTTTTGGGGAACATGGCACAGACTGTGAGCCCCTATCCTGCCTTCTTTCCCTTATTCTCTCTCATCCCTGGGCCCCCCAGCACCAGCCTGGGGTCTGGCAGGACCACAGCGTTTGCTAGTAGCACACAGACAGGGACAGAGACCGGGGCCCACCAACCCAGAGGGGAGGCCGTGGGTGCATTTCCATAGAACCATTTGGTCAAACGCAAAGAAGCTGTTTTCTGCCACTGAGCAGAGGTCCCTGCTCCAAGGACTCAGGGCGTCCAGGAGAGGGACAAGGAGAGACCTCTGAAGCCAGCACGGAGCACTGGGGGCTGTGGTCTGCCTTCCTCTGAGGAGAGACTCCTCTCCATTATTGTTCTGCAAGGAAGGAGTCATGGTGGTGCGGTGACAAAGCGCTCGTGAGGGCCATAGTGGGAGCTCACCCGCTGCCTGACAAGAGGAAAGGCACGATCGTCCACGCAGTAGAGACTCAGCCTGGGAGAGGTCCATCCTGAGGACTGACCTGCGGACTAGGGTCCCTGCAAGTGAGAGGGTGCTGGGGGTACCCGCCATCCACAGGACACCTGAGGGTGGCTCCACTCTGTGTAGGGTTACTATGGGTCATCTATGGATAAAACCCTGTCCAGGAGGCAGACACAGATAGACTTAGGTCTGTGGTTCCTGAGAAAAACTGACAGTCCTCAAGTAGCCCCTGCAGAGAAGGAACCCTTTTAGGGGGGCAGATGCAGAGGTCCCCCCACCTGCAGGACGAAGAACCTTGTCTGAAGGCTGGACAGGGTCAAACCAGAGGGAAAGTGCAGCTGCTGGTGGGCACACCCTGATGACACAGGTGTGGGTGGAGAACGGGAATGGGGAGTCAGTGGCTGCAGTCTACACTAAGGAGGGAGGGACCGCAGCTCACCCGGGATGCCAGAGAAGAAGGCCTGGAGATCCGATGCTCAAAGACAACCTGCTGACATCGGCTGACAAGACAAGGCCACCATCAGTCAGATGATAGTGAGGGGTGAGACTCGAGGCAGGAAAATTCAGACACAGAATGGGAAAGAATCCAGACAGAGAGGGCCAGGAGGAGCCAGGAGGAGCAGAGGCCCAGGACCAAGTGAGGGCAGCTACAGTGAGGACATTGTCCACAAGGGACACAAGGTGACAGGCACCCGTGTGGGAGCCGGGTGACAAGAGATGGGAGTAGACTCAGGACTGGGTCAGGTTGGCCCAGGGTAGAATCTGGAGCGGAGGGTCAGAGGACCTCTGTGTTAGGAGGCGGTTGGTGGCTAGAGTGACCACCATGGACATCATCCAGGTGATGTCCTGGCCCCCGGCTTAGTGGACACACGCAGACCACACACACTGGGCATGACCGTCCACACTCGGTCCTGGTCACCATCACTCAAAGCCAACCTGCTGGTCATGGTACCTGGTGTGGTTGTCAGCTTGTCTGCACTGAGTCGTGACAACTGTATCGGGATTGCAAATGTCTACAGGTGCCCTGGGAATGCAGTCTAGGCCCCAGGGGAGCCAGTCCCCAGCTTCCTGCTCTGTGGTTTCTGCTCAGGGCTCGGGTGGCCCTGCAGGGCTGTGTCTTTGCTGCTGGCACACAGGTACACAGCCGAGTCCCCGGGCTGCAGGGCGTCCACGTGGAGCTCCAGGTGAGAGCTGTCCGGGCACTTCGGGGAGAAGCGGCTTGGGATAGACTCATTCCCAATAAGCTCCTGGTTGTTGAAATAAAACATGAGCTCCGGAGCCTTCCCGGGGGCCTGTTTATACCAGTACATGACTTCGTGTCCCAGACGCTGTTCACACTTCAGTATCTTCCTGTTCCCCACGCCAGTGACCAGGGACCTTGGCATCTGGAAAACTCCAGTGTCCGTGGAGCCTGTGGTCAAGAGACAAAAATTAGCTGAGGGGAGAATCTTATAAGGAGCTTTAATGAGCAAGAAGAAACCTCAGGATGGTAGGTCCCTCTGGACCAGGACTCACTTGTCCCCAGGAAGCAGATGACCATCCAGCAGAGGGTCCCACGGCCCATGGCAGCTCAGACAGAATGAGCTGGCGTGCTCCGGCTCAGGCTCTGCCCTGTGGTGGGAGATACGGAGCTGACCTTTCTGTCCCTGCCAATCCCAGCCCTGCCGGCCTCCTGAACGCCTCCCTCTCAGCCCCGCAAGGCACCACCAGGCAGAGCTGCCTGTGGGTGGGAGTTACAGACCTACCACCCACTGCCCTGACTGCTCTTTTCCCACCCTCCCTCCGTCTGCCGGGTTTCCCTTCCTCTGTCTGCTTTCTAGCATCTCCTCTCAGATCAGTTGAGGGCTTAGCTACCGGGTTAGAGGCTGCAGTCCATCACTGACAGTGACAGTGACAGTGGGTGGGATCAGGGGTGATAGAGTGGGAGATGGGGCTGGATGGAGCAGGGTTTCGACTCATTGGATGTAAGGTCACTATGAATAGTAGACAAGTCAATAGCACCAAGCGACAGTGACATTGGCTCCTTGGATAAACGAATGTGGCTGTGTGCAACCCCAAAAACCATAGCTCGTGAAATTCTATGGGATTCTCTCCTACATCTGAAGAGTCACTAGGAGTTGGAGTAGACTAGACAGCTACAAACCCCACCCCCATTTCTCCCCAAGGCTGACCAGACACCTCCCTGTCCCTCTCAGAACCCAGGAGATTCCAGGTCCTGCTCTTTGGGCCCAGCTCCTAGGGAACACTGGCCTCCAGGAAGCTCAGAGACCTCACCCCGACCCAGGAGAAAGCACCCTCGGTGGCTGTGCAGGTGGACACAAAGATCTGCGTGTCGGGAGAGGTCGAGATAGAGGAGAGGGAATCATGGGAGAACGGATGATGAAGAATCAGAGTGTGAGACTGCGTTCAGCAAGCACAGTCACGGACCACACAGAGCCTTCATCCCACCACTGACATGGGTCTACCAGGACTCTTCTCGATTTGCTAAGTATTGGTGAGTTCTTGGTGGTGTTTGCACAGAGAATTGTCAAGTTGCTCCTTTCTATGTAAATTAGTCAGTGCCTGTCACTGGATTTTCCACAAAGTGCCAACATTCTCTTAAGTAGCCTTGTGATTGTTCCAATCCAGTGTTGTGATTTCCTGTCCCCTTACGATGCCCTCTTTGCTGCAGGGTGACTGTGGGCCCTTTTGGTCCTGTCTTATGTTGTGAGAGGTTCCACTGAGTGGACTTCAGGCCACAGAGTCCCCACATACAGCAGATGTGAACCCTTGCCTGACCCCGCGCCAGCCTCACCATCTCCACTGTGCTTAAAGCCTTTGCGGCAGTTACCCTGTGGGCACATCTTGTTGAAGGTCTTCCTCTCTTTCACCCTCTACTCTTCCAAGGATGATGTCTCTTCCTGTGGCTGGCCCCTCCGGACAGCATGCCTCGTTTTGTGAGACAGTCTCCTTGCTTCTAGGGGGGTTCCAGTTGCTCTTAATTCTATTGGAAGTCTATGATATAGTCAATTCTCTTCACAAACACTATAATTCAACTGAATCAATTGGGGGTTTTTGGCTTCTGTATTTATTATCTAACTTTCGCATGTATACAAAGCAAATGAAAAGATCAAGCCTTGTGCCAGGTCTACCTTAGTGTTAAGTTGACGCTCTTTCATTTCCACATTTAAAGATGTCCTTGGCATCAGATTTGCCCGATGCAAGGTGTCTTGGGTGTTGATAGTGTTGTGTTGGATCTTAGCAACCATGGATTTAAACCTGGATCCTAGTATAGTGAAATAATCGTCACCTTCGATCTTTAATCCTTTTATCTGAACGTTGCCTGGTGGTCCCACGAGGCTGGTCTGGCTGGTTTCCCCGTAGCCAGCCCCACTCCCCCAATGCTGCTCTTGATTCTCTCGTGTATCCCCCCTTCTCCTCTTCACCCTGTCTCTCCTTCTGCTCCTTTAGAACTTCCTCTCATTCTTCTCTCTCTTTTCTTCCTCTCTACTTCTACTCTTTGTCCTCTCTGGTTCACCTCCTCTTTCAAACTTCTTGGAGTTTCTCTTTCCCTTACATTCTTATGTGCAGACCCTCTGATGAGCAGAAAGACAGGATTTTGTACAAGGAATTCCAACCCTCCAGTTTCCCCATGTTCCTAACTTTGGACTTGTGCGTGTTGTAGACCAGAGTTACTCCTACTATAGCTCTTTGTGGCAAATAGAGAGACCAGAAGTCTTGCATAGAGCTACAGGTAATCACTGAGCTCCAGAGTACTAACCGAGAACCTCCAATACTAGACTGACGTTAAATGCCCTGGTGTCTCCCCTCCTGTGCTTCCAGACCTTTCTATAACCAGCGAGCTCTCAATACCACAATGCCATCTTCTGGCCATCTTGGGAAGTGTTATGATTGTTTATACCTTTAGTGCTGGCTCAAGGGATTGTGGGAAGTGTGCACAGTTAAAAAAAACAACAACAAACCCTGACCTTCAACCCCCACTGCCGACAACCTCTGTGCCACAGAGAATAGCAGAGCACCATGAGTGTTATTGGCTGGATGGACTTGAACAGCCAATCTTTCAGTAAGTCATTGAGTAGAAAGTTCTGTATCGTGTCACGATGGACATTCCAGAATATTCTATACATTTAAGTCAGTGCCCTACACACACAAGACCCTCAAGGGAACTTCCATAAATGCAGATCACAAAGGCCTGGGCAGGTGTTCCATCACCATCTGATGGTCTCAGTTCACCAGCATCTACTGCCCCAGTGCTCCTGATGTCAGCCTATGGGCTGGTCTCCTCCCCAACATCTATCCACATCTACAGCCACAGGAGCTACCCAAGCTATAGGAGAGAGTCTGTGGGCTGTCCCCCACCCAGAGCTATAGGGGATAGTCCGTGAGCTGTCTCCCACCCAGAG